TTCCCTTTTCATGCATAAATCCCACCTGTAATGCATTGTCAAAAATTTTCTGTTTCTGTTGGTAAAAATTGGAGGCAGAACCCTCCAATATTTTCAAAGAAGTCTGTGTGTGTAATCATAGGTTTTTATGATTTTTAAACAAAATTTTATAGTTATTCTGTCCATACCTAATTTAACAATTGTTTTGGTTTCTCATCTTTAGTGAGTCAAACTATATAATTATAGAAACAATTATGATTAGTGTAAACAGACTTGGGGATAAACTCTTCTGACTCCTTGTAAATATACAGTTCTAAACAGTAGACACAGAGGGAAGTGGTTATACTAGAGAGCAGCCACCTCACTGGGAACATTTACTGTGCCACTGATAATCAGTCATTACACAGAGGCAATAGAAAGAACCCAGTATCTGTCATATCCATTAAGTAGAGGTCATTTAAGAGCATCTATATTAATAATCCTTATAGCAGGTCTGCAAGCTTTTTTATTTTATTTTTTATTTATTTATTTATTTTTGCAGTACTGGGGTTTGAACTCAGGGCCTCTTACTTGCTAGGCAGGCACCCTACCACTTGAGCCATTCTGCCAGCCCTATTACCCCATTTTAGAAAGGAGACCTATTTATCTGAGATCTCACCTGCTAGCTTATTACTGATCGAGAGTCAGATCCTAGGCCTGGGTTATCCCAACCACTGTCATTCTGCAAAGCTCTTTTATGAACTGCATGTGCTTTAATCTCAGATTTACATATTACCCATGACTAAGTTAGTATATAGGATTCTGCACTGGAAGATCTTGTTTCTGGCCCCTTTAATTTTTTTTCAGGAAGATCATTATTAACCATGCTTTATGTTCTTTCTTTTTCTGATAGTAGCCCATTTGGGCTTTATTTGATGCTCTTTTATCTTTGTCTTCAGCTAAAGTTTACTTGGTCAACTTAGCTTGTCTCTGAGCAAGCACTCTTAATTCTTAAGAGGTACACCTTGTCACTACCAAGAAGTTTAGATTCTAAGCCATCATCCAGAAATCAAAATCTTATTTATCATAGATATGTTATTGTTACTCATTTCCTATTTCCTCCTTTTTTTTCAAAAGCTACAGCATATGCTTCTAACTCCCTGATTTCCTCTCCATGACTAACTGTTATTGAGTGATGTTTCTTTTTTTTCTAATCATGCCATTCATCCCTAAGTGAATCAGCACCAGTAAGATCAGGTTTAACAAGCTTTGGCACAGCTTTGATGAGCCCCTCACACTTTATGGATCTGTGTTCCTGAAGACAATTCATCTACTGACTAGGCATATGCATTCCAGTGGAGTCATCACTACTACCACCATATTTCTTGTCTTTCAGTAGCTTCACAGGTCACTGTACTGATTTGTTTCCTTTCCAGAGGTCTGTTTCTGGAAACAAGGACAGTAGCTCTATAGAGTTTCAGTGGTAAAGAACTGATACATGTCTCTGACATACTTCTTTGGGGAGTCAGTCTTCTGATTTTCATATCTCTTGGCATTATATTTTTTGTTGGAATTCAATCCTTAGAGATTCCTTTCACAATTCTTAGTAAAATGTCTTGATAAGTTGCCTGATCTTCCAGATTCCAAGAGGCTTTTTTGTTTTGAGCTTCTGCATTACTTCATGATCCATTGTGTTTGCTCCTCTGTAGGCATAGAAGGTTGTTATTTTTAGCAGGTCCCTATTATCCTTTCTCTAAGTAACTATCATTTTGTAATCTATTTTAAAAACAAAGGAACCCTTGAGAACAGTAATGAAGCCTTTTTCTTTTTCACTTTCTAACCTCTGCTATAAGAACAGATTATAGACTGTTGGTTCGGAATATGGACTGAGCTTTCAGGCAACTGATTTACCAGCCCTCTCTCCAAACTCAGACCTCACATAGACTTCTGTAACTCATCTCTCCAATTATTAAGAAAAAAAATTCTTTTACTCATACTTAATTCTTCTCTTTTTCCTCGTACCCCATATACTTTTTTTTCTTTCTTTTTTAGGGTGCTTGGGATAGAACCCAGTGCCTTGTGCATGCTAGGCAAGGGTTCTACAGTTGAGCTACATCCCCAGGCCCAATTTGTTTTCAAGACTTGTTTGATTTTGTTTAAAAAAAAATCCAGAATATAATCACCTATTATGTCTACCCCGTGATTAGTGAACTAACTCCAGTGGAGCCTCTTTATGTCCTTTTGCCTATCTAAGTTGTGGACCCTCTACTCTGGACTTTCCACTGCTTTATATGGAAACTTGACATGAGACAAATTAGGGAGAAGGGTTCCTGCTTCACAGATCTTCTCTAATGTCTTGTTCTTTTTAAAATTTTTACTAGCATAAATTAATTGTATAAAGGGATTTCATTGTAATTACACACATGCATATAATGTACTTTGATCAGATTTGCCCCTTCTGTATTATTCTGCATTAATCTTTGTTGTTTCTTATTTACTTTGATACAGAAAGGAAAGAGAGAGAGAAATAGTCTCATTATGCATTGAAATAGTGATAATAGGCCCAAATTCTCCTTTCATGAAAGGCTTCAACTCTTACCAGAAGCATTGCTTTGTTTATGAACATGTAAATTGACCTTGTACATGCTAGGCATGTACAAGCATGTGTGCTCTATAGAGCCACTTGGCCTAGCTCTGAATCCTGCCATTAGCCATGCGAATCTGGGCAAATTCTTTTTTTTTTTTCTTTTATTATTCATATGTGCATACATGGGCAAATTCTTGAACTTCTCTGTGTTTCAGTTGTCCTTGTGAGATGGGGATAAAACTAGCATTTGTACTTACTTTACATACTTGTGGAGCTTAGGTGATATGATACATGTAAAGCAATCAAACAGTCCTACTACATAGTAAGTATGCAATAAATAAGTTTTTTTTAAAAATCCAATTTGCAAAGTAGGATTTTGGGTTTTAGTCTTTCTGATGGCACATGAGTTATAAATATTTTGGTGATGAATCATATTTTAGTAACTCAGTTTGCCCGTGTTAGGATTCTCTTTCTTTGACCATTTGAGAGCCATTTGGAAGGATGGTGGTTACACCTTAAGTGCATTCAGCTCTACAGAATCAGTGAATCTGTAAACCAGAAACAGTGTTAAGGGGTGACTGTTAACTTCTTGGCATGTTACCACTTAATCCAATAGAAAAGCAACAACAAAGTGTATACTGTCTTTTCCTCCTTGCCCTATAACAGAATGAGTAAAGAGAGGAGATTTGTTTTCTGAACAACATATTATTTTTCAATATGGATTTCATAACTGATATTGCACTTTTAACTTCAACTAGAGCTTTCATTAGAATCAGAACTGACTGTAAGAGGAAGTTACTATCAAAAATGGCATTCTTCACCTTTTTAGAGAAGCCTTGTCACAACTTCTTCTAAGTACCTTGGTGTTCCTTAATTTTGTTTTTTTGGGTTTTTTTTTTCAGTGCTGAGGACCTTGTGCTTGCTAGGCAGGCACTCTGACTCTGAGCTACATTCCTTGATCTTCTTCCTAAGCCAATACCCAGGGCAGCAGCAATTAGGTGACAAAGGTGATATGAACATAAGATATTCATATATCCTGACTATTAAAAATTAACTGGCAGCATGGAATTGAAGACCAGGATAGTTTAATAAGCTTCTTGGTCCAGTACCCAGCCTTAGAATAATTGACCGTTCCCTTTCCCTCATCATCTCTTTATTCCCCCATGTTTGTTTGCTTGCTTGCTTCTTTTTCAGTTCTCAATCCTTGGTGTTTTCCCCCCTCACATATACCTATTGTCCTTTTACCACTGCATTTTTCTATATCTTTATTGACACCGTGTCTCTGACTCTGATTATCCTGTGTGGAAGAGAAGAAAATTAGACTATTATGTTCAAAATGAGAAAATTTTGTAAATCCTCCTTTTTCTCTTAGCATTAAGCATTGTCTTCATTTAATGGGCACTATGAATTCTGAGTGTGTGCCATGAAAATGCTATTCCTCTTTTGGGTGGCATAGTTTTTTCCTGGGCATTGCAAGATGAGTAGCATTCCTGGTTTCAGTGCCAAATGCCAGTAGCACATTACCAGTCACTGCGACCACAAAAATTGCCCTCACATATTTCCAAATATCTCACAACGTAGTGGCATAGCCTCTGATTTAGAACCACTGCTAGCTGGGTAATTAGAAGCATATCACCCAAATACTGGACTCAGTTGCTCACAATGTTAATTGTGAACATTGTATATAATTAGATGGAGCAACCTAATTGCCACGGTCTGTATGTCTAGGTAAAACCTAGGGATTAAAGAGCTGAATTTGTGCCATTCTAAAACTATACTAGCCACTTTTTATTTTCCCAAATCTAAAGTATTACAAAATCTAATATATCTGTTGTTAGGTTGTACATACATGTGAAATATTTTCTTTAAAGAAAATATCAGGTATTTCTAAAGTTAAATGGGTTATGAAATGAGTATGTGCATATGAGGTTTAACTTTCTCAAAGTGTACTCATTATTAATTTACAGAAATTTTAAATCTCTTTTTAAAGTGATTTTAAAAATATAATACAAAGTATATATACACTTTAGAATCTCTCTCTCTTTCTGTCTCCTCTCTTTGGCAATACTGGGGGTTGAACTCAGGGCCTTGTGCTTGCTTTTAGTTATTTTTTGAATATGGTCTCATGTTTATGCCCAGACAGGCTGAACTGTAGTACTCCTATTTATCTCCTATTTATGCTTCCCCACAAAGCTGTAATGGCAGGCGAATACCACTTTGCCTAAAGTTGTTTGAGACAAGGTTTCATGAACTTTTTGCCCTGGCTCACCTAGACCCATGATCCTCTCAATCTCTACTTCCCAAATACCTAGGATTACAGGTTTTGAGCCACTGGGTCTGACTAGAATCTCTTTTACTTATGATTTTTAAATCTGCACATTAAGAGTTTGATGTTAGAGTTTCCAAATGTTATATGAATAATTGTTATAAAATTTTCAATTCTTTTATATTTCAGAGAAAGACTTTTGAAGAAAATGGGGCACAGGCTCAGCCAAACCAAACAGAAGAGAAATAGAAAAAAAAACAGAAAGTATAACAATCTTAGTGAAATCATGGATGAAAACTCACTTGAAACCTTATGTTATCTTACGCCAGGAGATCAGCACCCACTTCAGAGTGAAAAGGAAGATTTTGAAGAGACAAAAACAGGGTGTTCCTTCACTGGTGGCCTACAAAATGAGTTTGGAGATTTTGTGAATGTCTGTAAAGAAAAAAGTTGGAAAAACATAGATCCTGAAGATAGTTTTAAAAATGTTAAGTCTGCAGTTGAATTGGACAACACATCAAAGAATTGCTTCCCTAAGGAAGATGATGGCTTGTTTCTTACTTTGTCATCAATGCCAAATGAAAGCTCTTTTATTTGTCCCACAGGGACTCAAAATTTTTCCTGGATCACAAGGGATGACTGCTCTGGCATGGAGGTAGAAAAGCATATGGGAGATAGGTATAACTTGGCATTAGATGCACAGGACCTATTTGCTGAAACCCCATGTTCAGTTATGCAGAAGACAGAGGTGGTAGATCAAAGATTGCCAAGTGAACCAGTTTTGTGCCATCAGCATAGATCCAGAACCTCACAGAAAGTCTTAAGAGAGGAACAAGGAGTACAAACAACTAGAAACAATTATTGGGCTTTTTTCACAACCAATTTATCTGATGAAGAATTACAGCTAGGCTCTGAGAGACAATCGTATTTTGGTAGCTGGCCTGAGGGACCTCATAAATTTGTGTGTGAACAGAGACCAAAGAAAGACAGATCATGTAAACTGGCCTGTCCTGACAGCAAGGAGCAACTGATAAAATTGATCTCCACTTCTGAAGGAACATCGGTACCAGGAAACAGCCCAGAAATATTGATAGAGGAGAAATTACTGATAGAAAATGAAGATTTGTCACTTACAACTGAAACTATAGATCCATTCAGAGAACCAGAAACAAATAACTTTGTAAGCTGCTTACATCAACTGGATGAATCAACAGAGAGTAACAAAAGGAGGCAGAAAAGGATTTTCAATTTGGCACCAAATTTTAGCTTACTGGGACAGAGTCATATCAGTGCAAAAGACAGGGAGGAACACTTCCTGTTATCAGAAAACCATGGACTGAACATCATTTTAGGAGAAGGAAAACATAGAATTTCAGAAATAACTAACACACCAGAGAAAAAGCAAAAAATTATGACCTTTGATCATCATCCATTGTATTTTTACCTTGATATTATCAACGATTCCTTTCTAATGAAGGGTGAACAGTTTTATTCTCTTTACTTGTCACTTAATAGACTAGGTCATGCTGTGTATTTTTACAAAAACCCTGTTCCTTCTCTTGTGCTACATTATATATCTAGCTTTTGGATGGTATCTTGTACCAGCAAGAAAACATTTTTGACTTTCAAATCTCAGACAATAATAGGTAACAGACTAAATGATATAGAGTTTATTTCCTCAGAAAATTTAAGTAGCCAGCCTGATACTTTGTGCTGTTTGAAGGCTACTTCTGATACTCAGTTTTTAAATGAAAGAACTGGTGAGAAGATGAAGAGTTGCGAAGAATCTAAGCCGTTACAGTATTTACCAACTGAGGATCACCAAGATTTAAGGAGCATTGATTTTAATCCCCTTTGGCTACCGTTATCACAAGGGTTTGCCTTTCAACTAGTTAAGCTTTTTGGAGCTCCTGGAGTGCCAATGGGTAAATTGTTTCCATTTCCTAAAAATAAAAGGTCCAGTTTAACATATGCAAGTAAATTTTTGAGGTATTAGTGGTTTCATGCAGTTTATTGGCCTTGTGATGCTTTTCAGCCGTGAGAGTGAGGACCTATACTTAAATTGCTTGATTTTTAAACCTCCCACCCATTGCCACCGATAGTCTTCAGTATAGAATGCTGGATTCTCCATTGAAATAGACACTGAGAACAATGAAGAATGAGGCAGGCAAATGTGGACTATGTAACATATAGAAAAGGGCTGTTTTTGGGGGGTTTTTTCCTTTAAATCTTTCTCCTTTCTACTTTTCACATGTTAGACACATGGCCCTTTCTTTTCTCATTCACAGTTATGGCTCTCAGATATGAGATTAGTAAAGGGTGGATAGCAAAGATTAAGTGATAAAAAACATCTGAAATAGTTGATTTTGTTTTTAAAGATCAGGTGGGCTCTAACGAGAGTAGGAGAGAGTCTAATTGACTTGAAAAGGTTTCTTCAGTCTTAAGGACATCATTTCAAAAAAAAAAAAAGATGTTACTTTTTGAAAATAAAAAAATCCACCTGTGAATGAACCAACCAAATATATAACTTTTTAATATTCTAAGTAAATGTCTTCTCCATAATAAGTATATTTCAAATGCTTAAATGTCCTTCAGGGGAAATGGAGCACATATCCACACTTTTTCTACTCTGTAATTTAGTGGCTGAACGGGAGATGTGGCTCAAGTGGTAGAGCACTTGCCTAGCAAGTGCAAGGCCCTGAGTTCAAACTCTAGTACTACCAAAAATAAGTAAGTAAATAAAATGTAACTCAGTGGTTGAAGTTTCCTAGTTCTTTTCCTTTGGGACAGGAATGAGTTCTAAAAGCCAAGAAGCCAAAGTTCCAATCCCTGCTGTTCCCCTGGATCTTCCTATTATTCTGCACTTATAGGCTCCTGGGACTTGCACTGTGTCAAAGCTCGTCTCCCCTAGTTTTTTGCTTTGCCTCTAACTTTCTGATGTTCCTCGCAAACTTAGTCTCAGCAACTCAGACCCAAGACAAGCTAAATTACAGGCAAGGGGTCATAATTAGTAACATACTCTTGAGGACCTGATACCATGTTTATCTTATCTATAAACTTTGTCAATAATCACATCTGAGCTTTTGCTGCAATTTGAGGGGTGGAGTGTATTAAATTCAGGGCATCACATTTGTTAGGCAAGTACTCTGCTACAGGAGTCACACTTCAGCCTTTTTGTTTTTGAGATAGGGTCTCAATAACTTTGCCTGGGATGACCTTGAACCTTAGTCCATCTATCTCTGCCTCCTAAGTAGCTAAGATTACATGTGTGTACCATCATACCCAGCTTGCTGCAATTTTTCTATCCTAGATGAACCAATAAAAGAGGGGTGGGCTAGAGGCATGGCTCAAGTTGTAGAGCACTTGCTTAGTAAGCCCAAAATCCTTAGTTCAATTTCAGTACTGCCAAAAGAGAGAAAGTGAAGGGAGGGAGGGAGGAAAGAAGGAAGGAAAACACACACCCCAAACAATTTTAAAATGCATTTGTTGGGTTGGAGATGTGATCAAGTGTTTGAGTGCCTGCCTAGCAAACACCAGACCCTGAGTTCCAATACTAGTACCCCCTTTGGGGAACTTGAAATAATTGAAGGTGTTATAATTGAAGACATGTAGGTTAGAGATCTTAGTCTAAGGCTAATATTCTGAAATTGTATGCCTTTTTTTGTGTTATTTTTTGCCTCTTTTCTGGGAGAAAGTCAACAGATTTTATTAGCTTCTCAGAAGGGTCTGTGACCCAGAAAAGATTAACAACCATCACCTTAGATCAACATGAGATAGATGAAGGCTCTGGTGTGAAATGATTCTAAACCCTCCCTCTCTTAAATGCATGATATTATCATAATCAATAGTAATTGAACAGTCACTAATTAAACATCAAAAAGTTTTTTTTAAAGGAAATAGACCTCATTCATCAAATGGGTTACCTTCTAAATGGGGATACAAGATGAACACAAAATAAAATTACTGCACACAGAAAATACAAATGACAAGCTTCTGAGTATTTTATGAGTAAGGTTAGTAGGGCTAAAGGGATCGTTAAAGAGAATTTAGGGCCATGGTTTTGTTTGGGGTGCTTTCAGTATGGAAGTGAATTATATAAGCAGTATTTGCACCAAGGAGAAGGGATGGGACTTACAAGAAAAGGGAAAGATTTTCACATTTGAAAACACGTGCTTCAAAAGGGAAAGGAGGAAAAGTTGTAAGTGAAGGCCATGAACCAACTTTGACTAGATTAGAGAAGCCAAGCTCTGGTGTATGGATGGTGGCCTTGTGAATAATGTGGTAAAGCAAATGAGTCCTAGGATTAGGAGCTCTGCAGACACAGTAGGATTATATATAATACGGCCATACATATAAGAAAGGAAACTACATGTAGGGCTAGGACTATGTAAGTATAGGAAAGCGCGCACGCACGTGTGTGCATGCATGTGTGTGTGTGTGTGTGGTTTGGGAGGGCTGACGTGTTATGGTAGTGTTAACCCTTAGACTTGTATATGAGCTTCTGAACCCTCACCTCCCAGCCACTCATATGTGGAAGGAACATTTGTAGGAAGAATACACTTGGCTATGGTTATAATGTTTCAAACATGTCACAGGAAAGGAAGTCACCTAAGTTTTATGCTTTTGGCAATACCACTTGAACTATTGAAACTATTATATGTGTATACATTGATTTGTATATGTTTATAAGTACATGAGAATATAAACTATGATACAAATCATTTTGCGTGTGTGGATATAAAGGATTTTCATTGAGTCTGGTTACTGTTTACTAATTGAGTTCTCAGACAAACCCTTGCTTTAACCATCACTGAAATATCTTCAAAACCAGACTTTTAATATGACAGTAGCCCAGCTAACATGCTTGCATAGCTTCACATTTTAGGGTGAAAATCTGTGTGACACTGAAGATGAAACTTGCTCCCCTTTTTTTCATAGAAACCTTGTTGCCTGATGACTATATGATTCCCCTTGACTGGAAGACACTGAAGATGATCTATTTGCAATGGAAGATGTCAGTAGAGGTATATTTTTATAGCTTTCAAAGAAGCTCCAGTTTCTTTAAAAATAAAATTGGAGAAAATCTGTTTACAAAGTTTAACAGAGAAATACTATACCCCTTAAATTAGAAAACAGTGCAAGCAGAGAGCGGGGATTAGGTTTTGTTTTTTAATTTGGAAAAAGAATATATGTGGACAGGTAGGTAAATATGCACGTTTTCTTTCAATTAGTCATAAGAGAAAGTTGTATTTAATCCCCTAACTTTGTTGAAATGTGTGCATTTCAGCACTGTGAATGAATGAGGTATCCATCTTAGGAAAGTTCATTATTCATTATATCCATTCTCCTATCAAGCTCTCAATCTTATCCTGTTAGGATAAGAGTAACTGCTACAAATTACATTCATATTTACCTAAGTTAGAGCATTTCATTATTGGTATGACCGTTGATCTACAGTGAGAGACATGCCTATTCTTGAGGGCTGTTCATTTTCCAGGTGGGTGGAGGAAGACTGTGTCCCATAGTTAGAAAGAGGATAAATGTAAGTTCTGGAAAAGCCTGAGGCTAATCTAATGGAGATGGCTGGGGTTCTGTTCACATTCATTGATAGTGATTTAAATGAGCCCAGAAGAAATGCTAGAAGTACATTTCAGAATAAATAGTAAAATGGAAATTTAGTAAAAAATTAGGAGCTGGTATCTTAGGATTATAATATGGTAGGTATTTCTTACCTATTTTTATAAGTACAGGTGTTGGAAAATAGATTTGTTTTGTGTTCCCATGTAGTAACACCAAATAAACATTTTTATAAGTTTCTTATGTCTTTCCCTTGGAGACCTTACACGTACACATAGCAACATTCAAATGTTCAGATTGACATTTGTGGTTGTAATGGTTTTTTTTTTTTTTGTCATTTTAGGAATGTGTCTACATCAGTAAAATGACAGTGCAAACTTATCTCCAATATTAAATAGTAATCATTGTTTTATGTATTTTTATTATAATTTCTAGAAAAGACAGAAGAATAAGAAGAATACGTTAAAATGAAAATCCCTTGAACAGTAAGTACAACTTATTCCAGAGACCTCTATACGACCAGAAGGAGGTGAATGTTGACATTATTGGGTTGTAATAGCTCATGTTGAAGAGTAAAATATAAAAAAAAGTAGTTTGTTACCATAGCAACCCTGTGTGCTGTTGCACATGTGATGCTTTTATTTCTTTAAATGTAGATCTTTTTGCGAAATATAACAAAGCTTAGCTTGTTGTTACTAAATTTATTTTCCCACCTCATCAGTTAAAACATATTTTAGAGCATTGTGACAACACACAATTTATGAGAGATTTCTCTCCTGACCAGGAATAGGAGGGGATATAGGTTATATTACATATTATGTTGAGAGATTCTCTAGGAAAAGAGGTAAAATGGTAGATATACTCACATTACATTTTAAACTTGACATCAAGCTAATATTAAAATGAAAACATTGTACTTTTCTTCCCCAAATGCCTAAATTATGAGACAAACACAGCTGCTACAATTTCAGTGTTTATGTGTCTGCATTTGATAAGAATTGAATGCACTGTGCATTTACCATATGTTTTCTTTCTTTGTTTTATCTCTTATTTCTAGGAGTATTTTGTGTTTTAATTTCTCAATGAGAAATACATATATAGTAAAAATATTTTTGTTTAATTTAAACCTGTTGCTGCTGAAAGAAGAGGGAGAAGAACTGAATATTTAGGAGAAGAGTTTAGAGATTTGGAGGGACCCCCCTCTAGATAATGTGGGATAAATATGGTACAGGAAGAGGTAGGAGATTATGAGGAATTCAGAGAAAGGAGGCTAAAACATTCATTCATTTATTCAACAAGCATTTATTGAGTTGCCTTTTGTCAGAAGTTGTTCTCTACATTGATGATATAGCCATGAAAGTATTCCCACTCCCCTGGTGTATACTTTATAGGAATGAAAATTTGGAAGGGAGTTTTTTACTTTCCTTCCCATGTGGAATCTCCAACATGTTGCATCAAGCAGCATGCAACAAACATTGCTATATTTAGCTGTGGCCAATTGGAGAGTCTTTGCTACCTGCTAAATTAGAACAGCTTGTGTCAAGGATCCTTTCTGGATCCTACTTTAGTTTTGATGGAGCTCCTCTACTCTATACTGCCCTCTGTGGCCCTACTCTCCAAGGCAGTGATTCTAATGTTTAATCTTTTCTTATGGGGACATTCTATGGGTATTGTAGCAATGTGCAGGTTTTTACAATTATACTGAGAACAGCCTCACTGTTTTGTGCTTAGCAAACTGTAGAGATGAGGCCTGGTTCAGATGAGTAGTTTTAAGGGGTAAATAGAAATTTAGAAAGAGGCAATTAGCAGGAGAATCTGTTTGGCTCTGGTAGCCGCAAGGTGTTGATGCTGTGGCACTCCTTCAGGGATGTGAGATGATAGAAAGAGGCTTGGTTCCTGCCCTAGAGTATCGCTGCCTGGCCATGTGACATTGCACAAGTCACCTCAGACCTCAGTTTCTTTACTTGTAAAAATAATTCTATAATATTAACCTGTCACAGGGATTTTAAAAGAAATAATTGTGCAAAGTACTTAGCATAGTGCCTGAGAAGTAATAGACTTTTTTTTTTCTGTACTGAGGTTTGAACTCAGGGCCTTCACCTTGAACCACTCCACCAGCCCTATTTTTGTGAAGGGTTTTTCGAGATAGGGTCTTGTGACCTATTTACCTGGGCTGGTTTTGAACCTGATCTGCCTGATCTCTGCCTCCTGAGTAGCTAGGATTATAGGTGTGAGCCACTGGTTCCAGGCTAAGTAATAGACTCTTAATATGGAATTAATTCCCTTCCCCTAATTACTTCCTTGGGTAAAAAGCATTGCCTTTGAAATGCTTCCTGGCAAAATAGCATTCGCATTATTTGGGAAGAGGAATACACTGACCCAAGAAAGTTGTTAAAACATTTTTGTGAATTAGTGTAATTGTTATTAACCTTTTGTAATGTAAATAGCTGAACCTCAGGGAATGGGAACTAGTTTCGATTTGGAAATGGACTCTTGCATGAAGCATAACTGGGGAGAGTGAGAATGAGTGGTAGCTGGAAGTCCTGGATGCTAGGAAAGAGGCACCACAGGGTAGCAAAGGCTGGGAACCTGGAAACAAACTTCCTTCACCATTTCATGTGGGTTTGTGTTTGTTTGTAGCTGACTCTGTGGCCTCGGAGGTGCTGTTGCAGATCCCGATCATGGAGAAAATCAGAGCTCAGTGCTGACTTGAAGGATTCCATCCAGGATATACCCACTGGCAACCCACGCTAGTGTGGATGATCTGTCCAACTGTTCTTGATAAGTTGTCTGAATAATAAAAATCTCAACTGAAGAGGTAACAGTTTAAACACCTTATTATCTGATTTGAAGATGCTTGAGTAACTTTGTTTTATAGAAGAAAATAAGGCACAGAAAACTCAAGAAGCTTATTTTTGAAATTGCATTAGGTTTGGAAGGGTAAGCCCTATGTCCAGGTATTGATTTATGATCACATTGCTAGAGTTCTAAAATCCAAAAGGCTCTGAAAACCAAAAGTTTTTCCAATTTTTTTATTGTAATAAAATGCACAATAAAATTTATCATCTTAATCACTCTTAAGTATAGTATAATACATTACTAATATCCCATTATCACCACCATCCATCTCCAGAACTTTCATTTCTTTTTTTTGTTTTGTTTTATTATTCATATGTGCATACAAGGCTTGGGTCATTTCTCCCCCCTGCCCCCACCCCCTCCCTTACCCTCCACTCTGCCCCCTCCCTCTCCCCCCCACCCCCTCAATACCCAGCAGAAACTATTTTGCCCTTATCTCTAATTTTGTTGGAGAGTATAAGCAATAATAGGAAGGAACAAGGGTTTTTGCTGGTTGAAATAAGGATAGCTATACAGGGAGTTGACTCACATTAATTTCCTGTGCGTGTGTATTACCTTCTAGGTTAATTCTTTTTGATCTAACCTTTTCTCTAGTTCCTGGTCCCCTTTTCCTATTGGCCTCAGTTGCTTTTAAGGTATCTGCTTTAGCTTCTCTGTGTTAAGGGCAACAAATGCTAGCTAATTTTTTAGGTGTCTTACCTATCCTCACCCCTCCCTTGTGTGCTCTCGCTTTTATCATGTGCTCAAAGTCCAATCCCCTTGTTGTGTTTGCCCTTGATCTAATGTCCACATATGAGGGAGAACATACAATTTTTGGTCTTTTGGGCCAGGCTAGCCTCACTCAGAATGATGCAGAACTCTACATTTCTTGAAACTGCAATTCTGAAGCTGGGTGCTGGTGGCTCATGCCTGTAATCCTAGCTACTCAGGAGGCAGAGCTCAGGAGGATCAAGGTTCGAAATCAGCCTGGGCAAATAGTTCAGGAGACTCTATCTCAAAATAACCCATCACACACACACACACAAAATCTCTGCAATACTAGACTGGTGGATCATGCCTATAATCCTAACTACTCATGAGGCAGAGATCTGGAGGATAATGTTTCAAAGCCAGCCAGGGCAAATAGTTTGAGAAACTCTATTTCAAAAATACCCAACACAAAATAGGGCTGGAGGAATGGCTCAAGTGGTAGAGCACCTGCCTACCAAGTATAAAGCCCAGAGTTCAAACCCCAGTACTGCAAATAAACAAATAACTTCCTCTTTCCCTTATCCTCAGGCAGGCACAGTTTTTTTTTTTAATTAATTTATTTATATGTGCATACATTGTTTGGGCCATTTCTCCCCTCTGCCCTGCCCTGCACCCTCTCTCCCCCACCCCCCTAGACTGTTTTGATTTGTAAAATAAGTTTGGAATTAAAATTAATTTATCAGATAAGCCTGACCCAAATGGATAGGTGGTTAATTTTATTCTTTATTTATCTAACTTGGTATATATTTAAGTGTATTTACTAGGGGTTGCCCCAGACCCCACTCAGAATATAAGGTAATGTATTTTTGTACTGCATTACTTCAAACAAACAAATACTTTCTGAGTTTTGGAACATATCTGACCCCCAAGATTTTGGTTAGGGATTAGGAGATCTATAGTATAGTAGAGTTGTTATAATTATTTTAGTATTTTTATTCTATTTTAGTTTTGTTGTACTTAAAATATAAAAATTCATTTTTGAAAAGTATAAATTAAGGGTGATTGTCTACTCACTATTCAACGTGTAGACATTTACTTAATCCCTGTTTTCAGAAAAGGTGCCCTGCCTGTCTTATTTTAAGCTCTTCCTTGCTGATCCTGTCTTACCTTCTTCAGGGAACAATCCTTTAGGTGTGGGGGAGGGGTGTGTATTTGTTTCATCTGGGGTATAGGGGATTGAACCTAGGGTCTTGGCCTGTTCTACCACATCATCAGCTCTAATGTCTGTTTCTTTCTTTCTTTTCTTTTTTTTTTTTTTGTGGTAGTACGGGGATTTGAACTCAGGGCCTTCACCTTGAGCCACTCCACCAACCCTATTTTTGTGAAGGGTTTTTTGAGATAGGGTCTTGTGAAGTATTTGCCTGGGCTGGCTTTGAACTGCAGTCTTCCTGATCTCTGCCTCCTGAGTAACTAGGATTACAGGCGTGAGCCACTGTTGCCCAGCTGTCTGTTTCTTAAACAGATTTTGAACTCACCTTGCTGTTTAGCGCTCCACCTCCAGCTCCAGATCTTCCAGTTCCTAGGATTTGTGGGTTATGCTGGCTAAATTTTGTTTCTTGGCTCTTTATAAGGGGGTCTTTTTGGCCAAATTAATCAACACTTGGCCTTTTGCTCTTTAGTTTCCAAAATTCTGTTGCTGTGATTTTCTCTCTTTTCTTATGGTTTATGTTTAAAACAAAAATAATAACAAAACAACATTTCCTCCAAAGAAACCCCCAAAACTAACTTTACATTTTAGTGGGGTTTCAAGGAGGGAGTGACATTTAAATGCTGGTGGTCAGTTTGCTTAATTTAAATAATGTTTTATTTAAAATAGCACAGTGTTTCTCTGATGTCCACTTTACACAGTTTTTAGTTTATCTGGCTTCTAGACAGACTCCCTGCTGCAGGGTTCACTTGCTCTCAGTAGCTCCTGGATCCCTTGTGAAGCAATCTTCCCTTTGGCCCAGAATGGAATTGCTTCAGCCCAGATCTGACCCATAATAGGATGCTGACATAATCAGCATTACTTTCTTCCTTGTTTTCTTTCCCCTAACCTCTTCCTGGAAAATTTTTGCTTTTTTAGGTGCCTTCAACAACAAAGCATTTGTGACTTTGTAATGAACCTATTCAAAGCTGCAGCCCCATAGCTGTACCTAAGGAGAATATTAGAAATAGAACAATGAGTGTGGTGTGGGCAGCCGCCAGTCTGGAGCACTTTATGGTGGCACTGATGCATGTCAGCTGACTGGCAATGCAGGCTTGTACTTAGGTTCCAGGATTCCCTGCTGTCTGCAACCATCTCCCACCTCCATTGCCTTTCTCCAATATCCAGAATGGAGCTTTGGAGAAGTGGGTTTGGGTTACTCTTCCTCCCTCTTCTCAAAGTTTATGTCAGTGACACCAGGTGTCCTTGTGCACACTGGCAAATGTTAAGCACTGTGGAATAAAAGATATAATTCTTGTCTCCTGGACAGTGTGTGACAAGAAGAATGAGGTGTGGGCTGGGATGTAGCTCAGTGGTAGAGCACTTGCCAAGCATGTGTGAGGCTCTGGGTTTGATCTCCAGCATCACACAAGAGAAGAGTGAGGTGTGGAATGCAGGGTTAGGTGGGTGGGGTGTAATTATCAAGTCAGGCTTATCCAGAGGACACCTCTGTGTTGGCAGGTTTACCCACTAGCTTTTCTTCTGCACTTTCTTGTCTCTGCATATCTTCTCAAACATTTCACTGTTTCTTCATTTGCCAAAAATGGTTTATAAGATTATTTGCCTTACCTTCCTCCTCTTTTGTGATTCTTTTTGGGGGCGGGGGAAGTTCTGTGGTTTGTGTTTATTAGGCAGGCACTCTTCCACTAGAGCCAGGCATCCATTTTTTTTTTTTTTTTAAGACAAGGTGTCTCTCTGTTGCCTGTGTTGCTTCTGAACTCTTGGGCTCAGAAGACCCTCCTGCTTCACCCTACCAAGTAACTTCTACACAACAGGACACTGCACCTTGGCTTTGTTTTTGTTATGTCCATCATAATAATTGTTTCTAGTGCAGCAACGTGAGATATTCATTTTTCATGTCAAACTTTCAAAATTCAAACTGGAGTTTGAACTCAGGGCTTCACATTTACAATGCAGGTGCTTGCAAAGCAGGTGCTCTACCACTTAAGCCACATGCCCTGTCCATTTTGCTCTGGTTATGTTGGAGATGGGGGTCTCTCAAACTGTATGCCCAGGCTGGTCTTAAATAGAGTTCCTCCCCATCTCAGCCTCTCAAGTAGCCAGGATTACAGGCATGAGCCACCAGCACCTAGCTTTGAATTCAGATTTTTAACCTCAATTTGAACTAGCCATAATTCAAATGCTCAGTAGCCACGTGGCTGTCTTATTGGATAGAGAAGACTTGGAATGAAAAAGGTAGTAGTTGAGGCTAGGCAAAAGAGTCTTGTAAGAAGTATGTGCTGGGAGTATAGCTCTTTGGTAGAGCTTATGCTTAATATGCAGGAAGAAGCCCTAGTTTCAATCCCCAGCAGACACACACTCTTATACAGATACATAGATTATAAGTGTCACTATTGTTATGATCTGTGTATATTTCATTCCTTATGTTTTCTCCCTAATACATGGAGAAGTGTTTGCAATTCCATTGTTTCTTAGCAGTGCTAGGAATCAAAGTATACTTCTGTATGCTGGTATTACCTGAAGATCAGTGCAGCTATTTTGATTTTGAGGTTCAGTGAGAGAAGAACCAGACAAGACGGGGAAATGTATTGAAATTGACAGCAAAATTTATTAGGAAAGGAATACATTTTCAAAGGACTGAAAGCCTAGTAGTTGTCTCTAGGGTGAAAATGACATTGGCCATTGCGTTTGAATATTTGTTGAGATTGCCCATGAGAAATTCCTGTCTGTAGGTCCAGTGTACAAGGTGGAAGTCACAGGTAAGCTGCAGTGTCATAAGGCATGGATAGGTTTACAAAACTGTAATACACAAATGCCTTTAGGTCCACCTGACCCCTGAGGTATTGTTTATGGGCCTGAGGCTTTGTTTTGTTGAGTAAAGATCTATTTGAATAAAGCCTGTCATTAATCTATTTTGATTTTTTTTTTTTGTGACCCTAGAGTTTGAACTCAGAGCCTCAAGCTTTCTAGGCAGGTACTCCTTATTCCTTACTGCTTGAGTCACTCCACCAGCCTTTTTTTTTCTTTTAAGAGATAGGGTCTCTAGAACTATTTGCCCAGAGCTGACTTCCAACCTGATCCTCCTGATCTCTGCCTCCTGAGTAGCTAGGATTAAGAGGTGAGAAACTATGTTGATTTTAATGGAGGTGGGTACCTTGTGAGTTGGGACGTTTTAATGATATTCTCTCAGGGACCTGTGATCTCTTTCTCCATTTTAGGCGCCCTTTGCATATTCCTGTCCTCATAGCGAACTGGTACCTGTTACTGGGAGGGGATTTTCCAGGAAAACCAGCTCATTTTTCTCTCCCACCTCACTCCCACTCTGCTACTCCCTGAGGGGAGTCCCATGGGGGAAGGTGAAGTTATCAGCGCAGAGCCCCTTTGGACAGCCCTTTCCTTATGCTGATTGTGGAATCTCTGGATTTTGTTTTAGGAGGAAATCACCCCCCTTCCAATTCCTTTTCATAGCTTTCATACCTTAGATGGCAGAAACAAAACTTATTTATTTTTCAATAATTATTGCAGCCAAAGCTACTATAAATCTCATATTTTCTAGGAAAATTTAAGTATTGTCTCTTTCAGTCCGGAAAACAATCATCCTGCTGCTCGTGAGTGTGAATTGTGGTGATCAACCACTGGGGCTCACCAGCTCCTGGAGCCTAGAACTGAATGTTCTGTAAATGGTTTCGGTTGATGCTGCCACTTTTCTGTGGATCTGAAAGAGTTCCCAGAGAGGCTGCCTCTTTTTATGGTGCCTGAGCGGCAACCCTATGCTACTGTTCAGAAGTCCACCTGAGGAAAGAGAGATTTAAAGTTATGTAGAGGCAACAGAGATTTCTAAGATTTTTTTTTTTTTTCTTTTTGGTAGGCTGATAAAGAAGGGTAAGAGAAACAGAAGATACAGGCCGTGGAGGAGTGTGTGTTAGCCCTTGGGACTCCAGCCAGATACTGGTGCACATAAATTGGGGGGAGACAGTGGCTTGTTACTATTCAAAACGCTGTTCACATTTAATTGTCAGCGAAAAGCATTTCATTTTCAAGGTCTAGGCCGGTGGAGGTGGGGTGGGAGAGAGCTTCAAAATTCAGTGTGTATTTCCACAGTGGCAGCAGGGAAATGTCCAGTGTCTCACCGGGTAGGCCCCTTCCCTCAGGGCGAAGGACACAGGGAGGGACGGGAGGCGGGAGGGAGAGCTGGGGGCTGCGTCACGTCACCCATGTTTTCCAGGCTGTCAGTCTCCCAGTGTCCCCAGCTTCCCAGGTAGGGACGCCCCCTCCCACGCAGCGCGGTTCCGGCGGGTGGGGAGGAGGGGCTGGGCTCCGAGCGCCGCCCCTCTACCTATCACATGGCCGGAGAGTCACAAAAACAACAGCTTTGGCCAAGACCGTGACTTCAGGAGAGGGAACCCAGGCCCTCGCCGCCAGCACCCTTCCCATGGAGGACAGTTTCCTTGAATCCTTTGGGAGGCTGAGCCTCCAGCAGCAGCGGCGGCAGCAGCAGCCGTCGCCTCGGCCGCCGCCCCCGCGGGGGACCCCTCCGCGCCGCCACAGCTTTAGGAAACACCTCTACCTCCTGCGAGGCCTTCCGGGCTCGGGGAAAACCACACTGGCCAGGTAATGACAGCGGCCTGGGCGCCGGCGCGCGGGCCCGGGGCTACTGCGCGCCCGGCTGAGCGCGCCCCAGCGCGGAGCCGCTCCCGGGCGCCGCTCGCTCCCCGCCGGGCGCCCGCGCGGGAAGCCCGGGTCGCCGCGCCCCCCACCCAGCCCTCGCCCTCGGCGCCCCCGGCCGCGGGCTCCGAGAGGAGGGCGCCCGCTCGTCTTGTTTGTTTCCCGCTGCGCTTCCCCGGGAGGATGGATTTCGGCACTGCGCCTTGCGCAAGCCCCAGATGGCACCGGCCCCTTCTCCGCGGCCGTCCCGGCCTGGTGCCATTGGGCCAAGGCCGCCTTCGCCGCCCCCAGCCTCCCCATCGTCGGGTTGGGGAGGCCCGCAGGGACTCATCTTCGCGAAGCCCCGGTGGCGACTGCAGAGAAAACCGCCCGGCCGCGAGCGCGCAGGCAGCCTCCACAGTGTGTCAACAGGCGTTTATCCCACGCGAATAAACCCGGGGGCTTGCGGGCGGGGGCGGGGGCGGGAGCCGGGCGGCGGGGCCTGGCAAGGGGCTTGGGCCGGTCGTGGAAATCCGGTGCATTCGGCGGCCTGCGTTTGCTTTGGCAGCTGCGAAGCGCACAGGTGCACGGGGGCGGGAGGCCGGCGGCGCCAGCACAGACCGTTATTGACTGAGCCGCCTTGGGCGCCCAAATTCGTTTACTTGCCAATTGCGTAAGCCGCTCTCCCGATACCAGGTCAGCGAGAACTGCGCGGGCTTGGTGACTGCTGCCACCCTGCTAGGCCCACTGCTCCATCCTGATCGCCCGCCACTCCCTGCCTTGCTCTTGCTGTGCCAGCATCGTCGGACCATGTCCCGTAAACCAAGCTGGTTCTCTCCTTGCCGGGGCTGATGCCTGCCTGCCCGCCTGGCTTGCACGCCACCTCTTTCTACCGTTTGCAGTAGTCCTTTAAAAACTCTGCTGTGCCTTACCTTGCAACTCCTTACCCTCAGCCCGTGCTCCTCTTCTCGGCTTCTATTTACAGCTCAGTGACTGTGCTTAGTTTTGCACATGGTTTTGTTTATCCTTCGGTGAGATTCTTGAGGGCAGGGCCTCAAGAATAGATATTCAGTAGTGGAATGGTCCCTTACCTTCAAAGAGCTTTCCATCGCACAGGACAGATAAGACTAGCCATAGGACCCTGGAAATGCTGAAGAATAAGGTGGCCTGCACTCACAGGTCAGTTCCCGTGCTGCCAGGTAGTGGCCTCAGGAGGAGAGCCTGAGACCTGGAAGTGGTCGTGAGGGAACCATGACAGCCCCCTTAAGGTGCTGATCAGTTTAGGGTTCTGATTAATTTACGGACTAGAAGCCTTTAGTCTAAGAACAGTGCCACATCTGCAGTTCTAAGGGATGGGTGACTTGTGGAAGGCTCTGGTTCCCCTTTCTGAGGTACACACTTCTTAGTAGGTCCTCTCCAGCTCGTGGGTGCTGTAGAGCATACAGCCTTCTTGGAACCCAGCAGAACTTGGTTGTGTTGTGATTCAGCCATGATAGGCACATATGTTACTTTCCAAGTATCTTCTGGTTGTCAAATTATCCTTAATTTCACTTTCACTTTGCTGGTCTGTGATCTGTCACACACTGAGTGTCAAAGAAGGAAGTAAACATTTTTGGCTAGATTTTAACCGTGATGGGAAAGGAAGTAATATGATTAGTGGAAGATTCATAGAGCTAAACATGAGGTTTTTGAACTTTGCATTCATCTGTAAAGTGAGTGGATTGGCCTGAGTGGTCTTTAAGGTCCCTCTGGCTCTAATTGTCTACACTTTTAGGATTTTAATTCCTGGTTGACATTTGGCTAAGCAGACGTGGATGAGACACTGGTTTATTAAAGAACATCTTCTCTAGGGATGACTGGAGTGAGTGCTGGCTTGGTCCTCATGAACTGGCTGGCAGCTTGGGGGAAATCACCTAGCTTCCCTGAGCCTTATGCTCTGTTTGTGTGACTAGGAGGCCGGAGGATTTATGAAAGATCCTTCTGACTCTTGCCTTCCAGCTGTCAGACAATGGCTAGGTGAGGAGCACTGACTTTGGAGTCAACTTATATCTGAACTCTGCCACTCACTAGCTATATTGCCTCAGTTTCCTCTCCTGTTCAGTGGGGATAGCTGCTCTTTCTTCCTCAGAAAGTTATGGTGAAGATTAAATGTGTGAGGAAGATTTAAGAAAACTTTAAAGTGCTGTCTCAGTATTAGTTTCTGCTAGAGTTGTTGACAAGCTTTATGGCTCCAAGTGAAGAAGGCAGCTGGCAGTGGCTTGGAGCCTTACAGTTGTGCTGGATATTGGTGCTCCTGGGGCAGAGGAGTGTTGGCATGCTTTGGGGTAGTCTGTGCATTTATATGGTCAGAGGAATAAGCAGGGTAACCGGCTACAGCTCAGCAAGGAGAGGCGCGGCAGGATGAAGTGGTGAGGAAGTCACAGGTGTGTGACCCTCAAGGAGCTGCCTTCCCCACATTTTTGGGGGGAAGGAGAAGAACGATTTGTTTTAAATACTCATGTTTAGAAAATATCAAAACTATAAGATTACCATGTATCTGTTGGATTCTGGGAAATTCACATTTGCTCTGTGTGTTTAACAGACTTTATATAATGAACATGTATTTCTTAAACCAGTTTAATAAAACATTTTTCTTTTAAAACTGGAGGAAATCAGTTTTTATAAATGTGGGTTCATCTTTTTCTGCTTAACCTATATTTCTCATTTGTTTAAAGAACTAATAAAAGTCTTTTTTGAAATTAGGATATGTCTTGTCTTTCAAATCAATGTTAGATTTCTATACTTTTCACCTGTGTTTCATGAGTTGACATGGCTGGGATGTGGGAAACAGCTACTTAAATTATTTGGATTTATTTAAAACTAGTTGGGTTTTAGCTGATTTAGAAAATTTTAAGCACATCAGAGTACTAAAAAATTTGTGTTCTCCTTAATCTGTTTTAGCACCTCTATTTTATTTAGACATTGTTTTAAAAATAGGTTGTCATTGATTTATAAGTTCTACCTCCAGGAATTCATCCTAAGGAAATAATTGGATAAGTGTGAAGATAGGGAAAAACCCGAGACAACTTAAATATTCAAAAATAGAGGAGTGGCTTATAAGTAATGCAGTCATGGAAAAATAGATGTCTATTTGACCTGTAGCTATATTTTTCCCTCCTTTAAATTAAAAAGCCTTACACACACACACACACACACACACACACACACCATTTTCTGCTCAAAGAAAGAGGTCTTTAGGTAGTGGGATTATATGCCTCCCCCAATTTATTTTCCAGTTTTCTACAACAAATATATATTACTTGGTAACTTTTAAAAGGTGAAAATTATGACTCATGTATAAAATTTAATGATTTGGCTAAATTAAGATTGTATGACAGAGCTTACATAACTAACTAAATAATGTTATTTTCTCTAGGAAAGGCTCTCCTATGTTCATTCTCAGTGGGACATATACTGGGAAACTTATCTGTGAGGAGATGGATTTTTAATGACAATAAATTTTATTAATTTTATTAATTAGCATATGAACTCACATTGGTCACTTGATTTCTTCAACACCTCTGATTCTTCATTAGAATAGAGATATTTTATTAGTATGTTTGTATTATAAGGATTTTAGATACTATGGTAAACACAAGTCCTATTGATATGTGTTCATTAAGCACTGTGCAATGTGTGTACCACACATCTGCCAACTATTGCTGGTTATTCGTCACTAATCAACAGTAACAACGTTCACTGAGTACTTACAAGACTATCAGCACTTGCTTAGTGAGGCATATACCAAACCAGGGGAAAGAACATCATACCCTACTGTGGGTAAGGGTGGGGGAGTAGCATCTTGCATGTTGATGGTGTTCAAGGCCAAGCAAATCACTGAGAAGGGTTCAAGCCGATTAGGGAGACAGTGTGTTCCTGTGGTTCTTGCCTTGGCCTTGAAGAGGGGAGGCGATGGAGGTAGGAAGGAGCTATGTTTTCTACTGGGCTTGACTGAGGGGGGAGCTTCATAGCAGTGAGTGGACTGGCTAGGTAAACCTAGGGACAGATCATGGAGAGAATTAAGAGCTGGACAGAGGAGTAGAGAGCAATAGAATTCCAATCCCAAGACACTTCACTCTCAGCTTGTGGTCTAACAAACTTACCTGGAACTGCACCTGTCCTTTCTTCCTGCCTCAGCAAAAGATCTGTGGCCAAGCTCAGTGCTTTCCAATGTGTGTCCAAATGTATCCCTGTTTTGGCTATTTTTTACCCTTTGAAGGTGTACAATTCAGTGGTGGTCCATTCATGATGTTGTGTAGCCATCACTGCTCTGTATTTCAAACTGATTTTTTTAATCACCCAAAATACAAATACTTTGTTTCCCCTTCACCCCTGACAACCTGCAAAGCTCCTTGCTGTCTCTAATATGCCTACCCTCAGTGCTTCATGTAAGTTGATTATACACTATTTGTCCTTTTGTGTCTGGCTTATTTCACTTTCACTTAGCATAATGTTTTCAAGATTCATCCATGTTGTAGCATGTGTGAGAACATCATTGTTTTTATGTCTGAATAAAATACTCCACTGTATGGGTATAACACTAAAATGTCCTTTGAAACGGCAATAGTAGAAGGTAGGCTTTTTTTTTTTTTTCTGGTGATACTGGGGTTTGAACTCAGGGCCTCATGCTTGCTAGGCAGGTGCTCTACCACTTGAGCCATTCTACCAGCCCCCCTTTTTTTTTTTATAACCTTGCTTGAAAAATCAAAAGTTACCTCATGTCAGTTTCCACATATCAGTCAAACCAAGTCCAGCAAGCAGGCTCTAGAACACCTTGTGTCCTCTGCGATGTTCTCTTTCCTTTTAGAACCATCACAAGTGACTTGTAAGACAGATTCAGTGAGGCGCAAATGAAACTTCCTGACAGCTGCCTTGTCTCCTTGTTCACATCTCTGATAACATGGAGTTCCCCATCAAGAGAAACAGTT